ATCAATTGGGAATTTTCCCTTCCCTCTCCCGTCTTCCAACCTCTATCGTCGATTTCCCGTTACTTCTCCCATCATCGCTTGCTCGAAGTCCGCTAGCTTTCGGGACCGATTCGTGTAATACGATGCAGACATGGAGAGATTCGGCTTCACCGCCACCCGCACCTCGCCAAGCTCCCTGCATTCTGGTTCGAGTGTCGGTTGGGCTGGCCCTCACCACAACAGATTGCTTCTTCCGTCGACTAAGTAGGATCGAAGAAAACCAGGAAGAAGAAGAAGAGCCAGCAGGCTAAGCTGAATCCGCAGCAGCGACAGCAATATCGGGATCTGGATTCCGCAGTTTGTCGGATCTGGATCGAAGAGAGACAGCTTGGCGAAGAGAGACAGCTTGGCGTACTTCCTCTGGAAGTAAGACGAGGCAGATGAGGAAGGTGGTGGTTGTGTGACCAGGAGTCGAGGTCTTCGTCGACTCCGTCGCCGCCACGGTGGTCGTGGGATTTGCGACGGGCGACGTAGGGGGAGACGGAGTGGGGGAAACGAATGGGTGTTGGGAGGAATCGGATTTGCGAGGGAGTTGATCAGAAGAAGCTTTGGAATCGGAGAACCTTATCATCTTCTTGAATCTCCAATAGATTGTTGGTATGCAAATCATCAGAGTCGAAATCACCGCCGAATATCACCAAACAACACCTCAAGCAAGTGTCCGATCTCCTTGACATTTCCCCCTCCATAAAAAAAGAATAACCACGCGAAAATTGGCTTTCCCGCCTCATTATATAAATTGCCCCTTCTACCTCATCATCCACTAGCATCGGTCGCTCCCTTCGACCTTCTCCATCCCAAAACAACCCTCTCCAGTAGAGGAGCCTGTTGGTCTTCTTCCCAGCGGCTGTTCGTCTTCTTCATCTGGATCTAACGACTTCTTCATCAGGCGGAGCATAGGGACTGAAGAATTTTATTTTTTTAGAGAGAGGCAAATTGGTAGACAACCGTGAGATTTCTATTTTTTATTTTATTTTATTATTACAAAATTTTGGATCATTAATATTTTTTAATTTAGTATTTATTTAATTTTAAATTAAAAATATGAGGTGTCAATGACATGGCATCTACGTGGCTGCCACGTGTTTGCCACATCATCAAAAGTCAACATCAAGTTGACCACCATTTGGTCAACCGTTATATATAACGACCAACAAAATCGTCAGGAGATAAATGACACACAACTATCTTAGGTTGGGACACAAATGTCATATTGGATCATTTAGAAGACAAATGGCACAATCTTGATAGTTCGGGTTTCCTAGTGGTATTAGCCCAAAAGGTAAATAAAACGAGAGATTTAAGGGATGAGAATTTCGAAATCCACACAATCGAACAATTTATTCCAACGTTATCCCTTTGATTTTTTTTTTGTTAATCCAAGACAACTATCACCATTTACGTACGTTTACCCTTTTTTTTTGTCTATCTCTTAGACCATCCACAACGTGGTTGGGTTTAGGGGAAAAGAAGCTTACAACGTGGGTGGAAAAAGAAAGATGGGGAAATAGGAAAAAATGGGGGGGAATACCCACCACTACAGGACAAAAGGTGGATGCAAGGGAGGGGGGATGGCCTACTGCAGGGCCCCGCGCTTGGCTTGCTTGTTTTTATTTTTTGTTTAAAGTTGTTTATAAACAGTTTCCTGAGTCATGGTCATCCCTTATTATTGTGATTTCGTTATTGATTACGTCATATTTAATTAGCGATGAAAAAAATTATGTTCAGATTAAAAAAAATATATCCAAATATTTGTATTAATTAATTATAACTAACTACGAAAATTAATGATCATTCTATAAAATTAAAGTGACGAAATCAAATAGAGATTGTACCAAAAAGTGCTAAACTAATTACCCCTTCCCCCCCCCCCCCCCCCCCCCCCCCTTGTGACCTAAACCTCCCCCTCCCCCTCCCCCTCTTTTCCCTATTTCCCCACCTTTCCCTCCCACCCACATTGTGGATGGTCTTCTGTTTGATGTCTGGTTGGCAACCGTGATGGCGATGAAAATAGTCGAGAAGAGAGACAGACACAAAGAGATATGAAGAAAGATTGATGAAAACTTGCATACGAGAAAAATCATAAAGATACATTAAGATTGAGAGAGGGAGATTGATTATGGAAAATTTATCGAGAATGAATATATAGGAAGTCGGATATTTATTTTCAAGTGATATCAACATAAGTCAAGAGTTATACAAACAAAACTATCCAGAAACCCTGTACAAGAGACACCCTAGTGAAACCACCCAATAAAGTCGAAAGACTCTAACTCTATGAGAGATAATAACAGTACTTTACGCGCCATTCAATGGCCAGCACTGTTGGCGGCTCTAAGAACTGCCCTAAACTCTATATAGACTAACAAAGAGTCTAGAATCTGACGACACTTCCGGAGCACCGAACCTCCAAATAAAACTTCTAGAACACCTTGCCAGATCTGGTTTACGACCACCTCGGAATCACCTTCACCATCCGTGAGACAAGAATCTTGAAGCATCGATGGTGACAACAACTCTTACTGCTAGGAGCTTTTCCATGTAGGGGTTGACTACTCCCTGGTGACGCATACCAGCTGCCAGCACCACATGCCCATCTGACCCAAGGAAAACAAGACCAGACGAGCACCCAGAGTCACGAACAACTACATCAAAGTTAATCTTCAAATAGTTGTCTGGTGGAGGATCCCAAGAGAATGGAAGAGGATTTGGAGGGAGCGATCTGGGGGCGGAGGAGGGGGTAAAAATAGGAGACTTCAAGGAGCTGGTTGTAGAAATGTCTAGCGAGGGAACGAACATTAGGTTGATAGAATTAAAAAGTCACTTTATTTCTAGATTTCTAGATTTCTAGATTCTCCAAGTTTGAAAGATTGTATCCTCATGGATTTGATTTTGGTTGATGCGTGCAAAATGCAACCCGCAACTAGTTTTTCAACATAAATAGAGATGCAGGAGATGATTCCTGAAGCCTGTTATCTCGTGGTAACATTCTCCGCAAGGAAGGCGTGGAGAAGCCCGTTTCGGCTGGAGCTGAAGAGGTTGAGCAGTTGGAGAAGCGTGTGATTCTTGGGGCCAGTACTAGGGGTAGCTATACGGTCCAGTCCGGTTAAAATGACCCGGATTGACCCGGTCTCGGTCCAGTCATTTTGGAAATATGAGGACCAAAGAGTGGATTGGGTACAATCCGGTTTTGACCTGGTCCCGGTCTATCCAGCCCCGGTCCTAATCCAGTTTTGACCTTGTCTGACCCTGTCGGAAAGTTCAGCAGCATATACCCAGACCGAGAGGGGTGGATCGATGACAGATTAGAGATCCATCGAGCCGGGACCGAATCTGGGATCGACGACAGTGCACTAGGACTAATTACGACGAGTTGGGACGGATGGCGATGAGCTGATTCTTCTCTCTGATCTCGCGTCGCGCAACTGCAAGGGAAGATCTGGAGTCGTTGACTGTGAGAATGACGGTAGAGTGGAGAGCTGCCGATCCGGGAGAGAAGTTGCCCACCGAGTGACAAAAAGAGAGGAGGTGCCGAGCTAGAGCGGACTGTCGACTGCGGGTGGCGGGGTGCGAACTCTGCGCTGCGGGAGGTAGAAATTGATTAGGGTAAATTAAATTGGCCGCTGGCTTGGAGGTAGGGGCCACCGAGTGAGCCTGGGCTTGTTTGTGGGCTGAGCTCTGGGCTTAGTGACTCGTCCCAAATATCACAATTAATTCACGCCTAAGGGCAAAGTATAAACCTTAGTAGGGTGCAATACAGGGCAAGTATGTTTAAATATTGACTCGGGTCGGTCCGTGTACCACTACTTCAATTGTTGGAAACATTATCTAGCAAATCGGTTTTGGTTGAAAAGTTTGATAATTAAAGTAAAACAAGACAAAAGTAAATGGTTTTGAAAGCTTTTTGTGAGAAGGATCACTCGGGTGTCGTTTCCCCCTAACTACTACCATGGCATGTGGAATCGAATTAATTGCTACGAGCAAGGTGACTGCGAACCGCTAGGAAACGCAACAATGGTCGTATACCACACTCTCGATTGCCAAACCAAGGGATACATTATAGGCTACTCAAGTAGCCCTCTTGGTTAAGGCAATCGATGGTTGACTTACTCTCTCACTCAACCCAAGGGTTGGTCGGCTTAATCGCACTTAACCAAATTGCTTAATTCAACATAGAGGTTTTCCATACATTAACCTAGATTGGTGATTTAAAAAGCCCAAGGAATCCCAACTCAATTGAGTTTCCCTTGAAAGGGGGAATTTTCCTCTAATCTAGGTTAGAATGGCCAATGGGATTGCTAAGTACAAACATGCACAATCAACATGAAAAATACCTAAATCATTGAATTAAACAACACTCATAAACAATCATTCAATTCACACAACAACTACATGGTAAATAGTTAGGGTTTCACAACACCCAAGTGAAAAAAAGAAACTACTCCATGCTAGAAAGGGGTAAGATGCGTACAATTAGGCCCGAATCACTTAATCAGTGGGCTGGGTTTTAGGGCCTATTTTATTAGCTTATCCAATCTTACGATCTTCCGGTTTTGATGCAGATTTAACGCGGACTGGACTAGTTTTAGCTTTTTGTTATTTGTGGGACCAAAGACAAGATTAGATTGTTAATGGGTTGACCCGGGGGTCGACCCACTTTGACCCTGACCCGATGAGAAAAACGGGCCGCACGCACCCGCCGGGCCGACCGCTACAAGGTACCGGGTTGGAGGTCAAATTGTGTCATTTTTTTCTTTGGTTTGCGAAATGCGCCTATTTTCCGATTTTTCTTTTCGCCTAGCTCAATCTTTGGAATGCTAAGTTGAACATTTGAATATTTATGTTATATAAGTGTGTGAATTTTCACTATATGTTGGATCTATATACGATATGTTATTTTAGTGTAATATTATATGTTATAACTCATATGTTAGATAAGATTTGATATAATTTATGAGTATAAGTACAATATAATGACTTTTTTCATATTTCCGGACCAAACCGGGCTAAAACGGTTGACCCATTAACCCTTGACCCACTAGCTCGACCAGGTCTGGATCGGGTTGACAACCTTGATTGTTATACATCTTATCCCAATCTTAAACAATCCGATTTCCGGTTAATTAAAAAACCCGGATCAAATAGCCCGCCCAGCCGGTACAAGCAAATTCACGCCTAGACATAACATAAAATAGCCTTGGTAAGTTCCAATGCAAAGGGGAAGGGGAAAAAAGCTAAATAATAAAACCAAAACTTAGTTGGCTCCGCTGAGAAGACTTCACGTTCTGGAACCAAAAAGAAACCTAATCTACATGCCCCACTTAGCAGACAACACAGATTGTTCACTTTTCTTTCCTAAGAATAACATAGGAATTGCGGCTGCTTCGCAGAATCGGGGAGGCCAAAATACTTTCACTCATCAAAACTACTACCATTCTTCAATCTTTGTTCTTCTTTTTCTTCTTTTTGACCTCTCCATCAGCCTCTCCTCCATCCACGCTCTCAGTTTTGCTCTTCTTTTTCTTCTTCTTCTCAGCCACATCCTCCTCCACTTCGATTGCAGCCACACCATTTGAGTCATCGTCAAGTTTCCTCTTCTCCTTTTTCTTCTTCTTCTTCTCCGATTTTGGTTCCGCACCATCTCCATTTGTTGTAACAGTTGACTTATCCTCTTCCTCTGCAGCTTCCGACTTGGATTTCTTCTTCTTGCTCTTCTTTTCTGAAGCTGCTTCTTCCATGTTGGTATCAGCATCAGCTGCATAAGCAGTCACATCCCAAAAGATAAGCGAGTTAAATTATGACATAGAAAGCCTATCTCGGCAACAAACTCGTGGATCCAATAATGAAAAGGCAAAATGTGCTCATACCATCATCATTTGCAGTCTCCATGGCAGACTTCATGACATCAATGTTCTTGCGTGGAGCAACTCCCTTGTCATAGAAATCAAGCCGCTCCTCAACCTGTTCCCTCAGTTTCTCTCCAAACACATTTGTACCATTCTCTGTAACCAAAGGGGGAAAAAAACAAAAAATAAGAACAAAAATAATGAAACTTTGTCAAAGTACAGCAAAGAGTAAGTAAGTTACTTGCCAGCAAAACAATCAATTCGAGTAGCAATAGAGCACTTGTTTGCAAGATAACGAGCCATGCGCCCCTTGTTGCGTGCAGATGCTCGACCAATGAAGGAGGAATGGAAAATCAAGCCATATTTGGGAGTATTTCCTCGGGTTTTCAAAGCTCTATGCACAACAGAAGATTAGATGAATGATATGAAATAATGGATGACAAAATTCAATGGTAAAAATAAAAGGCGAAACACAATGCTCAGCATGTACGTTCAATAATTGTCTCAGGTTTAATAAAGGAGAGCAACAAGTACATGCACTAGATCGGACTACCTGAAGAGGGCCTTCTCTGCCCCAAGAATCTGAAGGGTAGAAGAAGGGCACTTGGCCAAATTTGTAAGACTACCAGCATGAGATATCAAACGGGCCCCAACAATTTCACCAATTAAGGCAGCCAAGTTAGGTGCAATGCCATTCATCTTTTCAATTAGATACTCGTGAATGTTCTTCCTGTACTCAGCAAGTTCCATAACTCTCTGAGCAAACATCTGGATATTAATCATATCAACTGGATTCAAATCTTGACCTGAAGACAATCGGAAGAATGAGAAAAACTGTGAGCATGTCAACCTAAATGATAAACAAGCATTTACCAAACGATAAAAAATGGATATCAGATCGTACCCATAGAAGCTTTGGCAGCTTCAATGACCTCTTTGGCTTTATCTTCATCTCCAAGAACTTCTGTTAGTTCAGGAAGGTTGTCCTCAGATAACTTGGACTTGTCCTCAATGAACTTTGCAACTTTTGCAAAGAGATAGTTGTCATTGACAATCTTCACTAGTTCAGGGAAGTGCCACGAGTACCACTCTCTGCACAAATCAATCACTTAACAATCAGAGGCCATTCTCAATGACTCATCCCAACACATCATCCATCCATGACATCACAGACAACAAACCTAAATCTCATAGAAAATGAATTAACATCCTTGTCCAGCGTATCAAGAAGAGAGATTGCTTGTATGACCATATTGTCAACTCTGTTAACGTTGAACTTCACTTTAGCTCGACTGTAGCTGTGTCCAAGACCAAGCTGCGCCTTCTCCAAGTCTCCAGGCTATATAATACAAAAAAGTTCAATGAGCTAGACCATTGTGACAGAAGCCAAAAGCATAAGAGATAGTATGAGGCCATCAACAAATAGCCAAACCTTAAGGTCCTTGATGAACCGATCAAAATGTAGCCTGACACCACGAAGCAACTCATGAATAAATTCATTGCTTTCGCAAGGGATCTTAGTCACTTCAAAGATATGTGACCCAATCTTGTGATCTGAAACACCCAAAGAGAACTTCGGCTTCTTCACTCCCTTCACTTTTGGCAGATTAAGCTCTAAGAAGTTCCGCAACTCATCAGTCATAGCCCCTGAGAGAAACAGTTAATGCTTATATGAGTCAGCTGGAGCAATAACAATTGTTCATAATCCAGAGATGTGATATCACCTCTTGGACATACTAACGAAACTAACGAAACACATATACTAGTAAAGCCAAAGCAGAATCTTTCAAGCTGTGTTTATCACCATTTGCTGGAAGAAAGTAAAAATGCCCCGAAAAATCATAGCCCAGAAGCAATAATCAAGAGAAAAAGGTAAATCCAGTGGAGCAAATTCCTTCCCAAAGGATACTAAACACAAGAAAAAACGAGCTTAGGAGAAGGGCTTTCGCGGTCCTCACCTTCAGAGACAGAGTTACACTGATTGAGAGCATCGAGAGCAGACTCGAAGGGGTGAAAAGCAACGAGCTGGACGACTTTGCCGAACCGGTTCATATCAGAGACAGAGCCCCGAACGGCCTCCGTGTTTTGCCCAATTTCATCCAGACCGTGAGCGAGGAAAAGACTGTACCCAGAGGCAGCCTCATAGAGCATATACAACGCCATTGCTAGGTTTCCTGCACCGGCGACGGAGCTTGTGTAGCGCCAAAAACCCTTCGGTTCGAAGTAAATGAAAAGAAGGTTTTGGCGCTAGGGTTTTATATCGACTCCTGGTGTATGGGTTGGTTGTCGGATTAGGGTTAAGGGTTTCTGGTTTTCTATTGCATTTGCAGGTGCCGAAGTTGTTCTGGGTCGGGTCGGGTCGCATCCGGATTCCGGACTCGAATTCGGTTAGTTAATGTTATGGGCTTGGATTTCTCTTATATTCCGTAGTGAAATGGGTGGGCTTCCTGATGATTGGGTTTATAGAAGTTTGCGGCTTATTTCAGTCCTAATATATCCATCAAACTGATCGAGAGGAGCTGGGATATGTTTTGGGAGTGGGATCAATTGGTTTTCAGAATAAGTTAGACTTGTCGTTGCTTATCGGGCAGTCGAAAATGGATACTTTGAGATTTGTGGAAGAGAAATTGTTGGCCGTTTTGCAAGGATGGAAGCAACGTTCTCCTTTTCCAACTGTAGAAAAAATATTATTGAAGTTTGTTGCTGCCGTTTTGCCGGTTTACATTACTAGCACTGTGCCTTACTAGCACTATGCCTGGCCCGTTGGCCGGATGAGTTTGATTATTATATATTTTTCATACGGTACTACCACTTATAATATGTTTAAATAGTGAAAATATGCAATTGATATCGATATATATGTTTACAAAGAAAACATTTATAGATATAAAATAGTGAAAATATGCAATTGAAAAATTGTTCACTATTTATCCTCTTTTTTATCATGACACAAATTTATAGATATAAAATTGTATGATTTGAAAGTGCACGTTGTTGATTGATAGTCACAAATGAAGGACCTAAATTGCTAGCTAGTCCCAAATTCACTTAATAAGCACAAAACTGATTAGGGGCATAAATCAAGTTCTTCAATAAATTGAAAGCTAAATATCACGAAGTTCTTATGATTCCACGTAGGGATGGCAAAAATATCTACAGTATAGATATCCGCCCGAATACGAACTAATCGGGTAGGGTAAAACTCGACCCCAGATGATTTGTAGTGAGTATAGGTAAAATCTGAATCCGAATATTGCCCGTAATGGGTGGGCATGGTTTCTTACTATCCAACCCGAACCCGCCCGATTATACACATGCCTATGTATTTTTCGGAAAATTATCATTATTTTTCTCAACATATTTTACTTAGCATACCAATATAATATTTTCATGAAATTGTGTTGTTTTTAATTAATTTTATTAATTCTATTGATTTATAATCATACTTTTCCTCTTGTGTCATGTGAGTATACGTTTGAATGTTAACATGTTGGTTGGAGTTATAAAGAGATTATTATCCATGGATAACCGTGAATACCCGAAACTCGAACGGTTATGGACATGATTTTGATTTTCTTCACGATTCTTATGTGGGTATGGATATGGGTAAAAGCCAACTTGCACCGAGAGAAAAGTTTGATAACATATTCAACAATATTGTTGCAATCCTTCCAACAACATGCCAAGGAGTTAGGCTCCTCCCAATACCAAAGATTCAGCTCCAAATTTAATTGTTGCATGCCTAACCCCTAAAATTCAATTTGAACTATAAAAAGAAAATACACATGTTCTTTTGATTAATCTGACCTAAAAAGCCGAATGAATCTAGGAGCTTGACTGCTTGAGAGCCAAGTTTGACCGAATGAGAAAAGGAAGTGCATTCCATAGAGACTTTGGTAGATTATGAAGAAGGGGAAAATGTCATCTGGAGGCTCAAATCCGGTGGAAGGAAATGGGAAGACGATAGGATTGAATTTATGGGTCAAGTGCATGAGGATGATGAAACCCGGTAACAGGGAACGCACACAGTTTAATTATTATTATTATTGCTTATGGACATTGGAAATTAAACCCAAAAGAAAGGAAACAACCATTTCCTGCAAAAAAAAAAAAAAACCCAGTTTAGCTGAGAATTTTTCAGACTTATAAAAATGAAACATTATTATTATTATTATTATTATAGCTTATGGACATTGGAAATTAAATCCAAATGAAAGGAAACAACCATTTCCTGTAGAAAAAAACCCAGCTTAGCTGAGAATTTTTCAGACTTATGAAAATGAAACATCAAAACAAAAAAAATACTTGTTTAGTAATGATATGAAATCTTGTGGTCTGATTACCACATCCTTCAATTTAATAAGTATTTTCAAAATTATACCATATCGACGATCTGGCTGAAAAAACATGCTATTAGAGCTAAGCCGGTTGACAAATTTAGTAGTATGAACTGTTAAACTACGGTTTCGACACAAACATCTTATCGCTGAATTTTTTGGGTACAAAATCCAGTACTGTTTTACAATTGAATCAATTGAAATCTGCAAAAATTCTCAAAATAGCTGAAACCAACTTTTTTGTGCGAGCTTAAACCTACTTTTTAGAGAAAAAATTAAATAAAATTTAAACATCATTAAATATTAAATCCTCACTTTTATCCGGTAATTAAATTTTCACTTGTGAATATAACTTTTAGAGAGTTACATAATTTAAAAGGAATTGATCATTATCATTAGAGGATACCCCTCATTTCTCCATAATTTAAAAGGAATTAAATCCACACTACATAGTATATAAGTAAAAATTAATTTAATACCTTTCTCTTTATCGACTTATCCATTGCAACCTTCCGTATTTTCAAAATAATCAAAGTCTTGATTTGGTATATAAATATTCACAACTGTGGATACATGCTCGAATCTGACCTAATCGGGTTGAATAAAACTCGAACCCAAAGCATTTTGTGTGGATATGGATAAAATCTGAATTTGGATATTGCATGTAATGGATGGACATAGTATTGTCACTAACCAATCCGAAAATCATTTGATTATACACATACACATGAAATATATTTTCCTTAACATATTTGATATTTATTATACATACAATATTTTCATATAATTATATGGTTAAGTGTATTTATTAATTGCAGCTTGATTACTTAATTTAATTATAATGTTCCCATTATATATGTACTTTTTAAAGGAAAGTGATTTTGAGAATTTAAATGGGTAAATTAAATACTGAGCTGGGGTGGGGGTGGGGGTATATTTTATAGCATAAAACCCTATATCCCTCTAGCAAAAGTAAACAGCCGCCTAATCAGGAAATCTCCTCTATGCTCTCATCTCCTCGCCCAAAGTTTGAAAGACCGAAGTCGTGATGGCGTGAGAGATTCCCTAGCTAGTGAGAACTGACGGCGATGGACGCCAGCAACGATTATGACAGCGACGACGATGGTAAGATATGTTTGGTTGGTTTGCATGTCGAATTTAAGTTACTTTTCTTATGATTTAGGGTTCTGACTTTTCAATTTTGTGGTTCTGATTATCGTGGAGGAAGAGGAACGGGTCGCCAGCTTGGATCTCTCGGTCGCTTGCTCTAATGGTGAACTGCCAGCTCGAGACGTCTCCTCTCTTCTCTGGTCTCCTCGAATGGAGCTTCAGAGGCCGGATTCGCGATGACGTGATGACTTCTTATGGTGGTAACAAGGAACATGGAAGATGATGATGATGTTCCTGCTGATCAAGGGATCGACAAGATAGTTGCTGGTTGCTGGCCTTGTTGCAGAAGAGAGCCACCTGACGAACCACGAAGAACAGGGTCAGCAAAGGAAAGGAAAACGACGACGCAGAGAAGCAACGGACAACTTGGTTTGATTAGTTAGCTTTTTACTGAACAGTCTTACACGTGTAAAGCTTTGATTTGTCTATAGTTTACAGTAAAACTAACTGCTAGGTAGATCTCTTTTTGCTGCTTTTACTCTGTAAAGTGTATATATTCTCTGCTCAATGGAAAGCTCAGCATGAGCAATTTCCACAATTTTGTCTCTTCCTAAAATCTTCTTATGGTATCAGAGCGTTGCTCATCGCGCTAAGATCCGTCATCCTTGTTGATCTACTCTGTTTAGTTTTCCCCTTTCTTTTTCTTACTCTAGCATTGAGCTCCTGCTGTACCAACAATGGAAGAAGACGATTCCGCTCAGAAATCTGAATCTTCCGACAGAAATAAGGCCATTATGACCTCGTATGAAGACCCATACCTCAATCCGTACTATCTTCCTCCACAGGATGGTGCACTGTCCACCATCATCTCCATCAAGCTTGGCGATGGCAACTATCACACCTGGAGCGAGGTGATGATGTTGGCTCTGGACACCAAGAACAAAACCCAATTCATTGATGGTCGTATCCCAGTCCCTCAGGTAACAGATCCTCACTACCAGTCCTGGTCTCGTTGTAATGGCATCATTCGCTGTTGGATTTACAACTCTCTGTCAGATGACATAGCAAATAGTGTCATGAGACTAGGGTTAGCAAAGGATGTTTGGGATAACCTAAAGAATCGATTCAGTCAAGAAGACAACATCAGGGTTTATGATCTCAATGGCCAACTATCAAAATGTGTTCAGGGTGACAAATCTGTTAACCAATACTTCACTGATATTACAGTTCTTTGGGAAGAACACAGAAGGTACAGACCCATACCTGTTTGTCCTTGCAATCCTGGACCGTATGAAACCTTGAAGAGGTATGAAGAGAATGACTTCGTCGTTAAGTTTCTTCAAGGACTGAATCCTGTCTATCAGTCAGCAAGGACACAGGTCTTGATGATGCCTACTTTGCCTCAGATTGACATAGTCTTTAAGCAGATCTTGCAATTGGAACGACAGTTAAAAGTGATGAATAGAAGTTCTGGTGTAGATACCCTTGCCCTTGCAGCAGCTGCTTCTATTGGAAATCCATATAAAGGAAAAGGGAAACAACAACCAGACGGGAAGAAAATCTGTTCCTATTGCAAGAAAGAAGGGCATCTGATCAAGGATTGCTTCAAGCTAAAGAACAAGAAGGCAAGGGAAGCTGCAGAAGGTGCTTTTGCTAGTTCAATTGAAAGTTCTTTCCCAATGGAGAACTCTTCTGGTTCAATTGACAGCAAGGGACAAACTGGATTGGAGAACATCTTCACTCAGGATCAGATGGAGAGACTTAAACTACTGCTGTCAAAGTCACCATCTCCATCACCTCCCAGTTCACCTTCAGTTCACACTGCAAATGCAGTAACCAGAGCTGTGCCTGGACATAGGCCACCTGTTGCTGCACCCTACCTTCCTTCAAGT